AAAAAAAAAAAAAAAAATTGTGAACATATGAATCTATTACCTATTCAAAAATATAATTAAATTTACACACACATCACAAATCCCATCCCAAGGCCCCCCAGCTAGTAAGAGGTGGAGCTGGAGTGACCACACGCTCAGCTCTCTGCTACCAGCTTTGCATGCCCCAGGGCTCTCCCACTGTCTCAGGCAGCTGCTGTAGAGCAGCTGTCCTGCTTGACTCTCCATCACTGAAGGACTCAGAAACCCAAGAATCCCATGTCCTTCCAAGGACGGCAGCACTTCTTTGTCCACTCTTCCTCAGGGCATCCTGCTCACCTGCCGCTCTAGGAGTGACTGCAACACCAAGAAAGTTTCCTCCTTCCAAGGCAGCTCCAAGATCTGTCTGCAAACCAGAGGCCCTAGTGAGAAATGCCAGGCCTCCCACCCAAGCCTGAGTATCAATTTGCTGCTCCAACTCCCCACAGCAGGGCAAGGCCCTAGGACAGCGAAGATCCCCAGCCAACAAAGGGGTAGTCAGGGACAGGGTGCAGTGGCTCACACCTGTAATCCCAGCACATTGGGAGACCAAGCCAGTGGATCACCTGAGGTCAGGAGTTCGAGACCAGCCTAGCCAAAATGGTGAAACCCTCTCAGTCTCTACTAAAAATACAAAAAATTAGCCAGGTGTGGTAGCAGGCCCCTGTAATCTCAGCTACTCAGGAGGCCGAGACAGGAGAATTGTGTGAACCCAGGTTGTGGAGGTTGTAGTGAGCCAAGATCGTGCCATTGCACTCCAGCCTGGGTGACACAGTGAGACTCCATGTCAAAAAAAAAAAAAAAAAAGGGAAGTCAGAGCCCTCTTGATGCTGGCACCAGCTCATCAGCCCCAGCAGCCACTGTTGCAGAGCTCATACAACTGCCAGGAAGGTCATTATCCCAAGAGCCCAAGGAGCTGACAACAAAGTATTTGGTAGTGAGATAAAAAGGTCCCCTAAAAAATAACTAGAAAGTGCGTCCTCAGAACAAAAGGCAAAGGAGATTCATAGAAGAGGAAGATAATGGAGTGAGATGATACACATGAGGCTTCTCAGAAAAGGTGAGCCTGCCCTGTAGGGCCCAACACATGTGATGTCACTCTAGCCTGGGGGAACAGGTGCAATGGGGACAGCATAGAGGCCTCCACACTCACCCCAGCATTAGAACCTGTGCGTCTGGCTCTAGGGACTCTGCCTTCACAAGGCAACACAGTAACTCCGTTTGAGCAGGACCTGGGTAGAGGAAAGCAGAGAGAGGAAGTCTAGGGGGACATGGCAGAAGGCAGGGGAAAGTGGGGGAGCAGTAACAGAATGCCCAGCCTGTTATAGGGACACTGTCAGGGAAGCAACAGTCATCTTTAATCACTGAATACCAAACTCCTGCCAGGGCCACTCTGGGGTGAAGGGTACTGAGAACACTGAGGGCAGAGCCAGTGTACCTGGGGCTGGCTCCAGAATTACCTGTACCTGGGGCCTGGAGCACGGGGTCAAGGAGGGCTCTGCAGACAGGATAGGTATATTTGGCACAGAAGGAGGTCAGGGCAGTTTTAAGTAGGCGGGAGGCTGAGGAAGTCAAGGAGAGGATCTACAGCCAACAGGGAGGAAAAAATTAATTCTTTTCTTCTTCCTTTCAACAGCGTTTAACAAACACACATTTCAGGTGGTGACACATGTTACAAAGGAAAAAAAAAAACGAGTTCTTTTATTTAGAACTCACATGGACCCACCCATTAGGAAAGATACATAACTCTCTTGCTTAGTTCCCAAATCCCTGAAAGTTGGGCTTCTAGAAGGGTTCTGGTGCTCAAAGAGAAGTTAGATGCCAGCTGGACACAGTGGCTCATGCCTGTAATCCCAGCACTTTGGGAGACCAAGGCAGTTGGATTGCTTGAGGCCAGGAATTTGAGACCAACCTGGGCAACATGGCAAAACCCAGTCTCTACTAAAAACACAAAAATTAGCCACTGTGGTGGTGGGTGCCTGTAGTCCCAGCTACTCAGGAGGCTGAGGCAGGAGAATCGCTTGAACCCCATAGGCAGAGGTTGCAGTGAGCAAAGACTGCACCACTGCACTCCAGCCTGGGTGCAGAGCGAGACTCTGTCTCTAAATAAATAAACAAAGTACAAAAATTAGCCAGGCGTGGTGGAGGGCACCTGTAATCCCAGCTACTCAGGAGGCTGAGGCAGGAGATTGTGCCACTGCATTCCTGCCAAGGCCACAGAGTCACTCTGCCTCAAAAAAAAAAAAAGAAGTTAGATGCCATGTGGGTAGATGGTCTGGCCTGAGGGGGTCCATACTCTGCTAGTTAAGCAGGCATCCTTTCCTTGCCCCAGGGTGCCCAAACAGCCCAGATGTCTGCAAGGCTGGGAATCCCCTCTCTCAAGTACCACCCTTGAGGGCCCAGATGCTCTTCCCCATTGTCCTTGGCACTCTGAGTACCTCCCAATACACCTACCCGTCCGAGAAAGAGGCTTCTGGTCAGCACAGTAGCATTGCTGAGGCTGAGATGAGGTGAAAGGGCCAGCAGCCAGGTACAGAGCTGCAGGAGACCGAGGTCTGAGAGCTGGGGGAGCTGTAGTTGGGCACACAGCAAGTCTATCTGCTGACAGAGCGGCACATGGGAGGGGAGAGGACACCAGGACATGCACTCTGCCTCTGCTAGGCTGTCTCAAGACAACTGGGCAGAAGATAAAGCAGGGCAAAGACAGTCCAGGGCAAGGAAAGGCTGGGAGAGCTGCCCCAGGGGAAGGAACCAAGGGCCAGAAGAAATCACACAGGGTGACCCCTATCGCTGAGAGAGAAAATGACAAAATCCCCTCCCAGTGTTTCCCACATGAGGTAGGAAAACATAAATAGAAAAAGGTAAGGGGGAGAGGATGTAACCTCAGGGCCAGGCAGTCTATGTGGACTCACCTGGCTGGGACTACATTCATGGAGAAGCTGTAGCTCAACTGGGGGGACATCCTCCAACCCCTCTAACCTCTGGGGAGACAAATCTCATGTTAGGGCTGGCAGAGCCCTCAGTGAGAAGTCACTGAAGCCACACCTTCAGTTGGCAGAAGGAGTGCCTGAGATCTTGGAAGGCGCTACTAGAGGAGAGCAACTTACCTGGGGTTAGAGGGTAAGTCTACACTTGGTTCAAGAAAAGCTCCTTCAGCGACTATCCTCAGACCTTTACTCCAGCCTCCCTCCCCCAACCAGCTTGTATGTCACTGCACTGGGCCTTCCCCTAGTTGGGGTCTGGGTGGAAGGTGGAAGAAGAGCTATGGTGAGCAGGGTAGGGCCAGTCACCTCCTCCAAGGTCTTCAGCAGCTGCTGCAGCCTGGGAAGCTGGTCCTGTGGAGGAGAGCCCAGTCACTGCCACGTCCCTCCCCCTGCAGCATGACCCCAAACCTGGCTCTGGCTCCTGCTACTGAAAGGCCCCAGGTCAGTGGGAGGTAGCCAGCAAAGATGATTCAAGAAAGTCAAGAGGTCAGGCGCAGTGGCTCACATCAGTACTTCGGGAGGCTGAGGCGGGAGGATCACTTGAGCCCTGGAGTTCAAGACTAGCCTGCAAAACTAGTTGAGACCCCCATCTCTACAAAAATAAAAATAAAAAATTTTCCAGGCATGGTGGTGAAAGCCTGTAGTCTCAGCTACTTGGGAGGCTGAAGCAGGAGGATCACTTGACCCAAGAGGGTCAAGACTGCAGTGAGTTATGTTCATGCCCCTTCACTCCAGCTTAGGGGACAAGAAAGAGAGCCTGTCTTGAGGGAAAAAAGAAAAAAAAAAAGTCAAGAACATGAAGTCTCTTTCTTGAAAAGTGCCTAAGAACCCAAATTAGACAAGGCCCATGTGAAACCCAGCTGTCTAGAATTGTCTTCTACATCCAACTCAAATGGGGGTAGACCCACGCCCTGGACTAGGAGAGAGGGGCAGGCTGGATGCTGTCACGATTCTTCCTATCCCCGTATGATGAGGTAGCAGGGCTGGCTGCAGAGCCTCTCCCTTGCCTGGCGCCCTTTAACCCCACATTACAGATCATTAGGACACGTTTCCCATCTCCCGTAACTCCCTTCCCTACCCCTCCTTAACAGTTTGTGGAGTGGAGGCTACATTTCCTCAACCTACCCTCCTCCCTCTTCTTCCAGGAACTATAGTCAACTCCATTAGGGAAAAGTGTCCTAACCAGCCTTCCCCACAGATAAACCCATCACTCGTGAAAGATCATGCTAAACCCAGTCTTCCTACCATAGTACCTGGATAGCTTTGGGCAACTCCAAACTCTCAGCTAGACCCTTAGCATCCTCCAGACTTGAACCGTCCTTGCCAGTCTTAGCTCCCATGACAGGCTGGTCCTTAATAGGAGATGCACTTCCTCCATCTGCCAGGGATTCCAGTGACTTATGTTCAGGTCTTTCCTCCTCATGATCCTCTTCCTCTTCCCAACACCGTAACCTTTTGGGGGCCCTGTTCCCCTCAGGACTGGCAGGCTCTTCCTCTGACTCCTTTCTGCGTTTACCGGGCTGCTCGAAGTCTCTGTTCTTCTCTTCTTCAGGGTCTGGAGCCTGGGACGATTTCAACCTCCTGCCCCCTTGGCCCAGCCCCCTACACAGACCTCGGAGCTGTGTCTGGCATTTTTTGGACAGTGGAGAAGGTCCCTCTATGGAGGTCCCCACCCCCAAATCCCTTTGCAGCAATTCCCCCAGAGCACGGAGCCAGGCATCGGGATCAGGGGCTAGGTCCTGCTGGGCAATCTGCAGCACAGAGAGAAGCCCACTTTGTGGCAGCGATGGCTGCACAGCCATTAGTAGGGACATCAGGTTCCTCTGGCATATCCAGGGCAATCGCAGCAACAGTGGTTTCCTGGGTAGCAGAGGGAGAGCAAGCAGTTAGAGTGTCTAAGTGAAGGGAACACAGGGCAGACTGGGCAGAGGTGGGGGCTAGATGGTGGTGGACAGACGGGGGCTGGCAGGCAGTATCTGCAAGAGTCGGGGGATGTTGGCTGGGTGTGGTGACACATGCCTGTAATCACAGCATTTTGGGAGGCTGAGGTAGGTAGATCACTTGAGGTTAGGAGTTCGAGACCAGCCTGGCCAACATGGTAAAACTCCATCTCTACTAAAAAAAATACAAAAATTAGCCAGGCATGGTGGCATGTGCCAGTAGTCCCAACTACTGGGGAGGCTGAGGCAGGAGAATTGCTTGAACCTGGGAGGCAGAAGTGGCAGTGAGCTGAGATCACATTGCTGCACTCCAGCCTGGGCAACAGTGTGAAACTCCATCTCAAAACCAGAAGAAAAAAAAAAAAGTCGGTGGACGGAGACAGGGACAACATGAAAACTGTTCAACAAGTGTTCATTGAGTATCTACTATATGCCAGGCCCTATTCTTTGGCCTCTGTCATCTGTTTCAGCTCAAAATTCATATTGGAACCTACTCTACAATAGATTCATGCTTGTTTTACACAAAAGAAGAAAAAAGTTATTTCCCAAATTTTAGGTAAAAAGAATACTCCAGGATGCTGTGCAATGCTTAGTCTTGCAGCCCTATGGCTGCCCTCGGCAATCCCCTGGAACTCTCAGGGTCACTCATCTGTCCAGCTCTTGTGTTCCTTTCACCAAACTATGAGTTCCTAAAAGGTGAAGGTAGTGTTTCTTTCCTCTGTACTCTAGGACTCAACATAGCACCAGCCCAGAGCAGGCACTTGCCCATTTATTGAATGAATTAATTCTCTGAGAATAAGTGTGCAGAGATCAGCAAGAGCTGCTGTGGACAGAGAAAGCTTCCCAGAGATGAAACTTGAAACAGAAGCAATCACTTTACAGATTCCAAACAGTATTCACAAAGCCAAAGGGGAAGACAGAGGGCATGAGGATCTTTTGTTTTGGAGCCCCAGGGGTATAAGCAGAACCAATGCTCTTCCTGGCAAGCACCCAACTTCTCTTAAAATAGATGTAACACTACTATTCCCCCAGAGCTCCAAAGGCCCAGGATGCAATGTAACCATGTGTAATTCTGCTGAGGCATGAACCCAGATCCTACATGACCTGAAGCTTGGCATGGCAAGTCATGGCTGTATCTAGCCCACCACCATCACGTCTCTACTCCTCCTTATGCATAATTTTGCAGGACTGTTTGTCAACACAGAGGCACTTGGGATGTGAGGGAGAAAAAAAAAGACAACTATTTCTTTGTGGAATACAGACACTATGTGAGAGAGAAAATGAGTCAAAGCTTAAAAGATGGTTAATGTGGCTGGGTGCAGTAGCTCACAACTGTAATCTCAGCACTTTGGGAGGCCAAAGTAGGCAGACCATGAGGTCAGGAGATCGAGACCATCCTGGCTAACACAGTGAAACCCCGTCTCTACTAAAAATACAAAAAATCAGCCGGGTGTAGTGGCATGTGCCTGTAGTCGCAGCTACTCGGGAGGCTGAGGCAGGAGAATTGCGTGAACCTGGGAGGAGGCTGCAGTGAGCTATCGTGCCACTGCACTCCAGCCTGGGTGACAGAGTGAGACTCTGTCTCAAAAAATAAAAAATAAACAAAAGATGGTTACTTTGTGACGGGGTATTTTTGGAGGTATATTTTGGGGTAGAGAGGTAGGGAAGACCCTACTCCAGAAGATTTTAACCTTTTTTAGTGCCACAGATCTGTGATCAGAATAAGAGTATTAAATGCATTCCATAAAATATCTAAGATTACAAAGGAAATCAATTGTACTGAAATACTCTTCTCTCCAGGGGCCCCAGGTCAAGGCCTCTGCCCTCTCCATACTCTATCCAGAATAAACCAGATAGCTGGGCAAACATTTCTGTAGCTTCCATTTTGGGGATTCGGACAAGTTCTCCTGACCCATCTTCTAAAAGAAATTCAAAGTGAAAGGCCAGATGTGGTGGCTCACGCCTGTAATCCAAGCACTTTGAAGGCCAAGGCAGGCGGATCACCTGAGGTCGGGAGTTCAAGACCAGCCTGACCAACATGATGAAATGTCTTAAAAAAAAAAAAAAAAGAAGAAGAAAAAAAAGAAATTCAAAGTGGAGTGTAGGAAGAAAATATTAGAACTTCCATTTCCCCCTATTTATCTAAAACATAAGAAATTAAACATTACAAATATTTAGCATCTAGCCAGGCACAGTGGCTCACGCCTGTAATCCCAGCATTTTGGGAGGCCAAGGTGGGTGGATCACGAGGTCAGGGGATCAAAACCATCCTGGCTAACACAGTGAAACCCCGTCTCTACTAAAAATACAAAAAAACTAGTCGGGCATGGTGGCATGCTCCTGTAATCTCAGCTACTCGGGAGGCTGAGGCAGGAGAATAGCTTGAACCCGAGAGGTGGAGGTTGCAGTGAGCTGAGATCAGGCCACTGCACTCCTGGATGACAGAGTGAAGACTCCATCTCAAAAAAAAAGGTACGTATTTTATCACACGTGTACACTTTATACATGAGTACACTTATACTGGACGTACGTGTTCAATTTTTTAGAAATGGAAGTATGCGGGAGGCCGAGGCAGGCAGGTGGATCACGAGGTCAAGAGATCGAGACCATCCTGGCCAACGTGGTGAAACCCCGTCTCTACTAAACATACAAAAATTAGCTGGGCATGGTGGCGCGTGCCTGTAGTCCCAGCTACTCGGGAGGCTGGGGCAGGAGAATTGTTGAACCCGGGAGGCGGAGGTTGCGGTGAGCCGAGATTGCGCCATTGCACTCCAGCCTAGGTAACAAGAGTGAAACTCTGTCTCAAAAAAA